ATTATTTGAATGGATGTGTCTTTTCATTTGTGTGGATATGGTTTATTTTCTTAATTAAATGTAGTTAATTGTAAGTGAAAGGGTGTGTGAAGTAATGTTTCATTTGAAAGTGAAAGGGTGTATGTGAAGTGATGTCTAATTTAGATAAAAGAGTTGTAATATGTGCATGAGAAAAATTAATAGAAGAAAAAGTTTGTGTGTTTCTACTTCTACCATTTTTTTCTCTTCTTCTTCTTCCAATTTTCTTTTCTGTTTATTTCACAAAATTCCTCATTCTTTGATGTTGCTATTTGCTTCCCTTAACTTGCCATAGTCATCCACCACCTTCCCTAAACCCTAACTTCCTTTATTCCAAGATTGGAACTTCATGTACTTGCTGTCCAAGGTTGTCAAGACCTATGAGATTGCTGTCCAGAATTTCTCCGGATATCAGAGTGCTGCCCAAACTCTCTAGAGGTACCCGTTTGTTGTTTGAATTCGAGAGAAGACTTCGTACTATTGCCGTTCTTTCAGAAGCGATCACACATCATCGCCGTTATCTCGTATCTCCTATTTTTGGGTAAACTCTCTCCATTCCTCGCACCTTTCAATCCTCCATCAATCTTGGCATCATTTGATCATGAAGATCTATCCGTATAACCCAAAGTAAGAGTTTAAGTGTAGTGACTATTTGCCTTGTTAAATGAGGGATTCTTTTTGAAAACACTACATTTGCATGATATAATTTGCTATGATTATTTTATGGTTCTAATATTTTCTTGTGTAACTAATTGCTTGAGCTTAATCACCAACTCGTTGGCTTAAAATTTGTTAAGAAACACATGAAGTTGATTAATTGCAAAGCTCTATTCCTGTTTGTGTAAATTTCCAATTACTTACATTTGCTATTACATGTAGTTTTACAGGAGTTTTCAGGTAATAACATTTAGGAAGAAATTCTTAGGATTTCAAAATCAGTAGAGTTTAATATGCTAAATTTAATAGTTGTTGAATTTAATGTGTGCAGAGATTTGTAATGGTGGAAATTAGTGGGAGTATTTGCTGAAATCTGAAAGACTGCATTGTTAACAGAAAATAGAGATTTAGGTGATAAAATGAGGTGTTGGTTGCTTAAATTAAATAACAGTATTGCTGCTATAGTTAGTGCATTCAACTCTTATAACTGAAATCAGCAAGGAAATAGAAGAATAAAGTGGAAATCAAAAAAGGAAAGGAGAGGATGTGAGGAAAATAATTTTATGAGAGAAAAAGAATTTAGATTGAATGAGAAGGAATTTGATTGATAAAAAGTTTGTAAGATTTTATATTGTCTATTTTATTTTAATTGTTTATCCGAGTGCATTTATTGAAATGAAGAAATTATGTTTTATGTTATATATCAATGGAAAAGAAATCAGAATACTTTTGGTGAACCAGTTTACCCAACTGTTTTGGAAGACGAGGTAACACACCCAAAAAATGTCATAATAATTAATAAATGTTTTATCTAATTGCAATTCATATCTATTATGATTATGATAGCATTTATTTCAATTTACTTCAGTTTATTCTTTTATGAACTTTTATGAATATTTTTATTCATAAAATAATGTCTATAATAGCATATGTCATGGTGGTTAAAAAAGATTGCTATTGAGAAAGTAAAATAAGTCACATATGAGAGATATACCCGCACAAGTAAAGACAAAAGACTTGACAAGGTAAGCCTACTCTCTCAATTCTAAAAGAGAATTTGAACCCAACCTTGAATGAGAGAGCAATTTCAATTCTAAACGTTGAGAATGTAGACCAAATCTTGAATTGGAAAGTTAAAAGAGTGCAAAAGCTTATAGCCATTATATGACTTGTTTAATGGTGTAGAACAGTTGACAAGATAGAAATTAATATTATGCATTTCTTATGATCAATATGAAGTTTTTATATATTTTAAATTAATTGTTAACAATATTATTATTATTTCTTATACATTGCCTGTATATTTCATTGAACCTAGCTCATTAACAGTGATTATACTGCAGGAAAGGAGGAGCTAGTAGGGCACTAGGCGAAAATGGTGACTATTCTTTTTGGT